TCCCTACAGTCCTTATTCAGGACTGTGTTTGTCCGGCTTTCAGCGATCAAGCTGCCAACTTGGGATGTGTCCAGAGCCCCCGGGTGGATTCTGATTGACAAGTTTGATTTAAAAAGCCCCGGTGAGGAAGTGCTAGACTTTGTTTGAAAATGGCTTCTTGCATATGTACAGAGCAGCGTTTCCGTGTTTAATTCCTCTGTGGAATAATTCTTTGACGTGACTTTGGATAAACGTAAGTACCTATTCGTTACTACTCAAGTTCATAAAAGAGAAACCGCTTCACTCATCTGGTATCTTTCACTGCAGCCACTTTCGGGGGCTGGAGGGACAAGTTTTCGAGCTGCATAGAACTGTTCGGCTTATGTTCTTAAAATGACATGCGCTGATGTAGCTTATCATACGTCTGTGTGTAATTGACGTTTCATACAAAATACGTCCCATTTTCAAAAGTGACTTGGATTCTTAAGAGACCAAGTTCCATTGACTTCCAATCCGATTTAGACTCCTCGGTACCTTTATTCATTTTTCCAAAATGTAGGAGCCTAAATCTGATTGGAAAGACTCAAATAAAACTGTTCAAAGTGTCCATAGCTCCTGTGGATCGGGAAGTAACTAAAGTTGTAGGCAGTTTTCCTTCATATGCTCTGGTGTTGTTTTTTTAACTGCCTTCTAACATTCTGAACAGCAAACTAATAAACTTCAAACTGAATTTTTTCTCCTGTTCTAGCGCCTCTGGAAGAATTTCCTTAGCTAGGGTCAAATAAATCATTCTGTTTCATATCTCCCTCCTACTGCTGGTTGGACTAGCCAATTTGTTTGACTCCTGGGAAGTTTAGAGTAGGTTTTGAGGCTTTGGCTTTCGCTGAGCTTTTGGAAGGTGCTGGGTTAAAGAGATGCATTCGCTACGGAAGAAGAAATTAATTTTTTTCCCCCCACAAGGTCTTGAGTAGGTGCAGAAGCAGAGACCCAAACAACTGAGAACATGGGAATCTCCCTTCATTTCATCTGAACCCTGGAATTTTCAAGGCTCTTTTGTAATAACCCCGCCACGCTGGCCAGGGTCCTTATCCTTTCGATCACGGCTCCGCGTGTTCATCCTCAGCTACAGCTTTGCAATTGTACTGCCTGGCCTTCCTTTAAGTCTCTAGGATGGAGCGACCTGCTAGGTCAGCCCTCCACGGGGTCAGTCTGGCTCGAGGTGAGTCCATACTGTAAAGCCGCGGTTTTCAGACGTCTTTTCGCATGACCCAGTTGAAGAAAATTGTCAATGCCGCGACCCATCGTGATTTGACTAGAGTGTGGGCTCCGGGGTGGGGCTGAGGATGGGTTTTGGATGTAGGAGGGGGTGCCAGCTTTGAGGCTGGGGCAGAAGGGGCTTACCTGGAACGGCTCCCGGTGGGCAGTGCAGGGGGGTCGTGGTTCTCGAGCAGTCCCTGGACCACAAGCGGAGGAGATGGCTGTCTCCAACCAGTCACTACCGCCCCGTGGGGCTGTTAGAGGGCAGTCAGGTGCATTATTTAAAGAATGGTTTATTGCGTATGGGATTTTTTTAAAAGACCTTTAAAAAACCCAGCTGAAGGCTGGGGAAAGGCTGAATAAAAATAAGCATAATAAAAAAGCCAAGTTAATGCAACTTCCCGGACTTTCCACTTCCCTTCACGGCCTGCGTTCCCCGGCACTCACGTCTCCCGGCGCGTGGCCAGGCACGGTGCGGCGGGAAAGCAGCTGGGTGAGAAACCCGGGAGCTCCGCTGCCCTTCTGGCCAGAACGTTCCTCTTCTGACTCTGGGCGCACAAACCAACACCCAAACTGCCTCAGCAAAGGCAGGAAAGGGTCAAGTGTGAAGCCAGGGGCTGAAAAAAAAGCCCCCGTTTTTCACGAACGCCGAGGGTCCACGAATCCCGCTGGCTGTCAGGTCTCCTCGGCTTAGTGGTATGTGATCTTTGCAGCCGGTGTCTCCTGGATGTGCCCCGGGCCTGGTTGTATTTACACCGGGCCCCCTCCATGCAGAATCCGAGCACCTCACAATCGTTGATCCCTCCAGCCACCCAAACCCCTGGGAGGCAGGACAGCGCTGTTCTCCCCACTGTCCTGATGGGGAACTGACCCACGCTGTGGTTAAGGGAGTTGACCGAGGTCACACAGGAAGCCTGTAGCGAAATAGAAGCTGTAACCCAGCTCTGAGAGAGGCTCGGCTAGCACCCTATGCACGGGGCTGGTCCTCCACTCTGCTCCTTTTGCATCTCAGCCCTGCTCTGCGCCCAGCTGTTCTGGCCGGAAACAAGGGCAGGGGGTTATGTTGTTAGCTCACAGGCTTTTCCATAGGGTCCCCGAGGAGTCCTGTCTCCTCAGGCAGAAGGCCGAGCACATTATCCGAGGCGAGCCAGCGGTTCTTCCTTAAAAACAAGTTGTCAAGAGAGCGGGGGACAAACAGAAAGCCGAGGGAAACACTCAGCAGCTGGTCTCTCAGCCCCCTGGATGGCCTGCTTCCAGGGGCAGGGACAGGAACTGGGGAACAGCCTGTGCTCCACGCTGGTCGCAGCGGACGGCCTGTCCTTGCCGGCGTCTGGCCGTGCGAATGGGTCTCATTTTACGTGGGAGGGAAGCCCCGCTATTCCAGTCAGAGTCTGTAACTAGATTGTCTAGTGCAGGCATCCTGGCTGGCTAACAACCTCTCTCCCCGTCCCGCCTGTCAAGCCAGGCCCGCTCGTCGCAGATAACCGCCTACGCCGGAGGAGCGGTGCTTTGGGAGAGAGGAGGCCCCCGTTACAGGCCCCGCTGCTGCTCTCTCACTTCTCCAGTCACTCCCAGCGCACCCCCCAGGCAGCTGGCTTCCTGCTGTCGCCGCTCCTGAGGCGAATCGGCCGTTTCCCCCACGCTGAAGCGAGGGCGCCAGGGTGGGTGACCAGCCCCGACAGGCCCGACGCCCCCCGTCCTCCCCGCTGGGAATCTGTGAGCTGGGTGCGCACGGTCCCCGCGCGGCCGCGCCCGACGCCTCGTCTCTTTGCAGCAGGAGCAAAGTCCTGAGAGAAAAAGGGATGAAACCGTCACCTGCGTGTGTCCGTCTTGCCTAGCGCCTGCCCTGCAGGGTGGGGACCCTAGTGTCCGCGGCTGCCAGCCCCCCGCTGGACCTAAGTGGGGCAGGGAGATTTGGGCCGGCTCTCCCCTCAGGAGGAGAAAGGGGGCAGGCCGGAGAGGACTCCGGAGCCTGAGACTGACAATCCTCAGGGCCGCTGGGGAGGGGCCGTTCTCCAAAGCAGCCAGCTTGCAGGGTGGGGAGGCCAAAGAGTGAGTCAGGAGTCTGGCAGGGGGGCTAGGTGGGGGCCCTGAGCAGAGCCAAGGAGCAATAGCTGGAGACGGAACAGCGGCAGGGAGTGAGGGGGGCCAGAGCTGGGCCGGAGGCAGGACGGAGCTGGAGGGGGAGCTGGAGCAGCCCGGAGCGGAGACGGGGCACACGGAGGGGGAGCCAGGGCTGAGCTGGCCGGCCCTCGGCGCTGGAGCAGAGAGGCAAGAGCGACGGGGGGCCCAGCAGAGAGGCGTTGCCAGACACACGGCCTGGAGGGACGGAGTCAGAGGTGGGCGACAGGCTCGCGCCAGAGTCTGACCCGCGGTGCCGCGAGGGGCTGGGAGGGAGGCCCGGGCCGTGTCAGGAACAGCTGTTTGCAGGGTCCCCCAGGCCCAGTGGCGGCTCCCTTCTTCCTTGAGCCTCTCCCTTCCCGTTGCTCTTTCATGCATTCAGTGGAAGGAGCAGGGAAGCGGCCGGGGAGGAGACAGGCCCCAGCGTGGGGACACCTCAGCCCTGTGCCGAGTGACCGCGAGCGCAGGGACGCGGCCCCTCAGGAATTCTGGGCCCAGCCTCGTCGCCGTTACGAGGACTCTGCTGCAGGGGAGCCTCCGGGGGAGGGCGTTGGAGCCGAGCCGTTGGCTAGCTGATGCCACCAGGGCAGTGCCGAAGCCAGGGAAGTGCCCCTCGGACTTCACTTCCCCCGGCGGGTGACTGGCTCTCGGGCGGGTGCCCTTCGGTCCGACCCTGCGAGCCTCCCTCTCACGTCCTAGCGGCTGCCAGACAGCAGACTCCTCCTTGGTTGTTTATCCAGGGGGGGCTGTGCTGGGTCAGAAGAATGGCCAGACGGGGTCAGACCAAAGGGCCACCCAGCCCAGGGTCCTGTCTGCCCACAGTGGCCAATGCCAGTGCCCCAGCGGGAGGGAACAGAACCGGGAACCATCAACTGATCCCTCTCCGGTCTCCCATTCCTAGACTGCAGGCACCTTTCCTACCCATCCTGGCTGACAGCCATTGCTGGACCTAACCGCCATGAATGTATCTAGTTCTTTTTTGCACCCTGTTAAAGTCCTGGTCTTCTCAACGTCCTCTGGCGAGGAGTTCCACAGGTTGACTGTGCCCGCCGTGAAGAAAAACTTCCTTTAGTTTGTTTTAAACCTGCCGCCTATTGATTTCAGTTGGTGACCCCTGGAGACCAATGGTCCACCTAGCCCAGTGTCCTGTCTGCCGACAGCGGCCAATACCAGGCGCCCCAGAGGGAATGAACAGAACAGGGAATCATCCAAGTTGATCTGGCCCACGGCAGTCCTGTTGCTCCTCCGCCCCCCCACCCCCCGGCAAATTAGGATCTGGGGGCAGGGGGAGTGCGCAAAATTACCCCCGCCCTGCCAGGAGCATGTAGCAGGGTAGGAGTGGGGCAGAGGAAACTTGGTGCGCACCTCTCACCCCCAGGCCAATCAGGGCTTGGGGGCGGGGTAGCGCATAAAGTCTCCTCCCACCCTTCCAGGGCAGCCCGAGGCCACTTCAAACATTTTTGAAGTGGCCGCTGGCCAAAAATTATTGCCCACCCCTACACTAGGGACACCGTTCCTCCCCAGCCTGGCTAACAAGTATTGATGGGCCAACCCTCCACGGATTTATCTATCTTTAACATCAGAGTCGCCTTTGTCCGTCTCTGGGCTGCAGAAACTCCGCCGACTTAACCCTTTGTTTCCCTGCTGTGCTCCAGTTGGACTCTCACGAGGCGAGGCGCTCCCGGGAAGGACGCTGACTCTCCCCGCTGCAGGGCAGGATGGTCCGGAGCGTGGCGATCGTCGGCGCGGGCTCCAGCGGGCTGTGCGCCATCAAGTGCTGTCTGGAGGAGGGGCTGGAGCCCACCTGCTTCGAGCAAACGCCGACTTAACCCTTTGTTTCCCTGCTGTGCTCCAGTTGGACTCTCACGAGGCGAGGCGCTCCCGGGAAGGACGCTGACTCTCCCCGCTGCAGGGCAGGATGGTCCGGAGCGTGGCGATCGTCGGCGCGGGCTCCAGCGGGCTGTGCGCCATCAAGTGCTGTCTGGAGGAGGGGCTGGAGCCCACCTGCTTCGAGCAAAGTGGTTGGGCTGGGGGGGGCAAGCCTCCAACCCCGCCCCAGCCCCACCCCTTCTGCCCAGGCCCCGCCCCCAGCCTCTCTGCCCCCAGTAGGCATTCTAGGGGAGGAGCATGGGTGGGGCCAGGCTGGCAGTTTTGGAAGGCAATGCCTTCTCCTGCCTAGCATACCCGCCACCCATGAGTACCCATGAACCTAGGCACAGTTTTCAGGCTAGGGACGACAAGAACGTCTTGGCACGACAGAGCCTCCATCTCTGGCACACCACTAGCTACTCTTCCCCAGGAATTCGGGTGTGTCCAGTCCTCCGGTAAGATCATTCCTGAGACGGGGATATAAGGAGTCTGGGGGCCTGGGCTTGTGGAGAAATTGACCGGAGTCGCTACTGCAGAAAAATAGCTCCCCACGTGGATACGCTGATCCTGGATTAAGCATGTCTGGTTTGGCTCTGTTCTGGGTCTGTCCCCCGCCTGGGTTAGCTGAACCCACTTTGGAAGTGGATTGAGTGAAACCAGGATAGGCGCTTGGGGGCCCCCGCCTTTTGCACTCGCTGTGCCAGAGTGGGGGCCAGCCTTGCGAGCTCTCTGCTTCGGAAAGAAGAGGCTCCACGTAGGGCTTGTTTATGCTATGGAGAAGACCAACCCTCTGGAGGTTGGTTGATTTTTCTAGTGTTCAATTTAGGGGGTCTAGTTAAGACCCGCTAAGTGGAGCCCAGAGGGTGACCCGTCGGCACCGGTACTCCTGCTTGTTGCAAGGAGGAAGGGAAGTTGATGGGAGCGTTTGATCCGTTGACCTCCCGTGATGTGGATGGCCCAAAAACACGATGTAAGATAGGTCGACTCCAGCTACGTAATGAATGTCGCTGGAGCTGCGTATTTTAAGTCAACTGCCCCCTTTGATGCAGACCAGGCCATAAAGAACTATGCCAGAAGGTCTATAGCCCTTTAAGTCCACCTCATCCCTCACTCTCAAATAACTTCCCAGTGTAGACAAGACCTGTGGCCATGGCATGGAAGGTCTCATGGGCCAGGCGGCAGTTTCACCCTCTCCGACGACCCAAGTCGGGTAAATCCCTCTCCATCGGTCACTGTTTGCACCTTTGGCACAGGAAGCCGGGAGGATCAGCGTCTACCGATCTGTGATCACCAACACCTCCAAGGAGATGATGTGCTTCAGCGACTTCCCCTTCCCGGAGGATTACCCCAACTACATGACCCACGCCAGGCTCCTGGAGTATTTCAGGCTGTATGCCGACAACTTTGACCTTCTCCGGCACATCCGCTTCCAGGTAGGAAGGGAGGCGAGGGTTCGTGCGTGTGCAGTCGCCCGGGCGGCAAAGAGAAACCCAGGAAAGCTAACTGAGCTTTGCGGCTGACGCGCCAGGTCTTCAGGACTGGCCGAGACATGTTGGGTGCAGGACCTACAGGACAAAGATGGTTTAAGTCACCCTTGTACTCCCCTAATCCTCGAAGTAGCCAGGGCTGGACTGTTCCCCAGTGCTAGTGGAAGGAGGCTCAAGGCCTGGGTGATGGTCACATCCCTCACCTAACGCTTTTCAACTCCTTAGTCTCACTGTCCTGGTGCAATGGGGCCAAAGCAGAGATCTTGCATGTTAATGGATGAAAGAAATGTCTGTACCTCCAGGCCTATCCAGAGAGGCCCAGAACCCCAAAGGTGTGTCAGTGCCCAACTCCCAGAGGACTGTCTAACTCTCAATGGGATTTAGGAGCCCAGAGACCGTTGAGGATGTGGCTCTAACCCGTCCCACGCAGAACCTAATGGTGTTTTGCTTTTCATGTGGCTTCCCGGCAGACCACAGTACGTAGTGTCAGGAAACAGCCAGACTTCTCCACCACCGGCCAGTGGACCGTCGTCACCGAGACCGGTGGGCGGACCGAGTCGGCCATTTTTGACGCTGTTCTGGTGTGCAGTGGCCACTATGCAGAGCCCCATTTGCCGCTGGAGTCTTTCCCTGGTAAGTCCTGGGTTCCCGGCGGACCCGCTGGCCGAGAGCCGCACGGAGCGTGGGTGAAACTCCCCCCGGCCACGCTGTCCATGGTGGGACGAGTTCCAGCATTAGTGAATATGGTGAATTCACATCTGGATGGAGCAGAACTCTCTGAAGGCTCCTGGCTGGGCCCTTTTGACCTGCCCAGCAGAGGTGGTTGCTGTAGTAAGCGGGTATTTTATCCTCCAGGCCTTTCGGCTCCTACCTCCCTGTTGTGGTTGCCAACAAGGTCACTCATGAGCCTGTGCTGTGCGGGGGGTTTAATGTGATGCGGGTAAAGCATAAGCTGAGCAGAGGGGTCCCGGCGATGACAGTGCTGAGCAGAGCCAATACGCAGCTTCCCAGACCTACCAGGAGACAGCGTCTGGCTTTGCAACGAATGACAAAATCAGCCAGACGCCTCCCCCATGAGAGTCCCACCAGGCCAAGTGCCCTGCCTCCGTTTGGAAAGCCCCCAAGGATAAATCAATTGCCCTGCAGCGCTCGCAAAGGGGGGATTCAAAAACACAGCCTCTCTTTTTTTTGCAGCACCAGTAGGTGTCACTGAAACTCAATGGCAAGTGAGCACTGTCGCCCTTGGGTTCTGTTGTGATTGCAATCAATGGATTTGCACGTGTAGGCACCGTTCACAAGCATTTGAACCGGGATTCTGTGCTTTCACAGAAATCACCTGATTCAATGAGGCCTTGTCTCAGTGGAGCAGACACGTTTCTTTAATGGCTCCCGGCTTCCTCCCCAGGTATAGAAACCCGCTTTCAAGGCCAGTACCTGCACAGCTGGGAGTACAAAGACCCCGCCCGTTTCCGCGGGAAGCGAGTCCTTGTGCTTGGCGTTGGGAACTCCGGAGGAGATATCGCCGTGGAGATCAGCCGGGTGGCTGCGCAGGTACAGCCCTGGGGTGCTACCGAGTGTCCACGTTCCTCAGGCACACCCGGTGTAACAGTTGGGGTGGGTGTAACAGTCGGACTGGCTGCAAGCAAAGGCCGATCACACCTGGTCTCCACCTCCTCCGTTCCAGCTTGTCTGTCTCCAGCTTAGCAGCCCAGCACGGTGCATCAGGTCCCAGGTGTGCCCCAGAATCCTACCCAGGAGTCTTCTTTGAAAGACGGAGACGGCGCGGTGTTGCAATGGTTTTACTGATGGTCCTCCACTCACGAGCAGGGCCCGGACCTATTCTCCGACCCACCCCCCCAACTCAGCAAGCCTGTCTGGATGTCTTAAAAAAGTCCAATGGAAAGTGCCGCTGGAAACGTGCCAGGCGACATTAGCAAATTAGTTGCATATTGGTTCATCCGGCACTTGGTTCCTTGCCTCTCCCTCCTTATCTTGGGAAAGTCTCTGCCCTTTCATGCTGAAGGCCTCCTAGCAAACGTGCAGGGTGTGGTTTGAGCAATGAGAACAACCACAGAAAGAACCCAGATTCCCAGGCCTTAGATTTCTCCGGCCTTAATTATTTTCCAGGTGTTCCTCAGCACCCGAAGTGGCACCTGGGTGATTAGTCGTATCTCAGACCATGGCTTCCCTCTTGACATGATGCTCACCACTCGTTTCCACGCCTGTCTCGAAGGGCTCTTCCCATCAGCCATCATGGGACGGCTAAAACTGAAGAAGTTCAACACATGGTTTGACCATGCGAATTACGGTTTGATTCCTCAGAAAAGGTGCGATCTTTTCTTTCTTTCTTTCGTTCTTTCGTTCGTTCGTTCGTTCGTTCGTTCGTTCGTCCGTCCGTCCGTCTAGACTACATGCCTCTGACGACAGAGGCATGTAGATTAGACTACCCGGCATAGGAAAATGAAGCGGCGATTTAAATAATCGCCGCTTCATTTAAATTTACATGGCTGCCGTGCTGAGCTGATCAGCTGTTTGTTGGCTCAGCGCGGTAGTCTGGACGCTCCGCAGTCAACATCAAAGGCATTTGTCGACCTCCCAGGTATGCCTCATCCCATGTCGCCAGAGGCATGTAGTCTAGACGTTCCTTTCCTTTCCTTTCCTTTCCTTTCCTTTCCTTTCCTTTCCTTTCTTTAATTTAAGGATTTAGTACATTACCCTACAGAAGACAGGAGTCTAGCTCAGGGGTAGAATTAGGTGATTTTTTTTATGCAAATAGTTTTTTTACTGCAAAAATGCAAATTTGGGTGAACAAACTAGTTGTTAATTTGGGTGGAATTTGACAAATAGTTTTGGCCGAAAATTTTTTAAAAAGCTATTTTTTTAAAATCAAAATGTATTTGCTTTGGCATTTCCCACTTGACATGTTTCCAGTTTTGGTTTGGGAAAGTGGTTGTCTTTGGAAGGCATGTAGATTGAATAAAAGAAACACGTTGCAAACATTTTTTTTTAAACCCCAAACTACAAATAGAATGAAAACAATTGGTTGGGGTTGAACAAAACAATTTGTTCAATCCAAAATGGTGCTTGGAGGGTTTGGGGGACGAAGGTTCTTTTGCTGAGAGAAAACTTTGGTGAGCACTTCAACCCGAAACAAGTTTTTCTTCATTTTTTGACCCATTTACCTCCACACTGAAAAATAAGTGATTTGCCAAGCTCTGCTCAGAAAGCTGACAAAGATTCTTTAGCATTAAGGTCGCTGGGTCACATTCATCCTAGATCAGTGACAGGAACTTAGGATCACGACAGCTCTGGCTCTGGGGTTTTAACTGCTTCTGCTTGTCCATAGACCAGATACGGCTTGGGCAAACACTGCAAATCCCCCCCCCACACACACACACACACACACACACGTCCCCTATCTAGACACCTCCCTGTGTGGTCTGCCCCCCTTAGCTCTGCCACACCTCACGATCCACTGTGGTGGAGACAGAATTCCGGCTCCAGCGCCGTTCTCGGTCACACAGCACGTCTGGGCCAACCCTGCCCTCAATCGCTCTCGCTCTCTCTCCCTTCCGTGCGCCAGCCCGATCCTGAGCTTAATCGTGAACGACGAGCTGCCCAGCTGCATCCTCTGCGGCGCCGTTGTGGTAAAACCGGACGTGGAGGCGTTCACGGAGAGCGCCGCCATCTTTGAAGACGGGACCATGGAAGAGAACATCGACGTGGTGGTCTTTGCCACCGGGTACACCTTCTCCTTTCCTTTCCTGGAGGAGTCTGTCCGCGACGCTTGCAGGAGCAAGTACACCCTTTACAAAGCCGTCTTCCCGCCCCCGCTGGAGAAACCGACGCTGGCCGTCCTTGGCCTCATCGAGCTCACGGGCTCCATCATGGCCGGGACGGAACTCCAGGCTCGCTGGGCCACAAGTGTCTTTAAAGGTAGGCAGATTGGGGGCGGGGGAGGGGGAGAGTTGTCCACGCTGCAGCTGTAATTCCTAGCTCACACCGACCCCCACAGGCTGGCTTGGATCCCCCGCTGGAGAAACCGACGCTGGCCGTCCTTGGCCTCATCGAGCTCACGGGCTCCATCATGGCCGGGACGGAACTCCAGGCTCGCTGGGCCACAAGTGTCTTTAAAGGTAGGCAGATTGGGGGCGGGGGAGGGGGAGAGTTGTCCACGCTGCAGCTGTAATTCCTAGCTCACACCGACCCCCACAGGCTGGCTTGGATCTACCAAAAAGCCCCACATTCCCCTCACGCACCAGAGGCGCAGACTAGTAGAGTGGGTGCCCCCCCACACACGCGGGGGTGGGGCCAAAAACGAGCTCAGCGTGTGGGGGGGAAGTGGGGGCTGCTGGGAAGTGGGCGAGCGGCCTAACAGGCCTGAGGGATCAGCTATGCAAAGAGCTAGTCCGCTCTCTGCTTTCTCTTGTTCCCAGGGCTCAATCCGCTCCCTCCTGCCGGCCAGCTGGTGGCTGAAGTTGCCAAGAAGCAGCAGCTTCTAATTAAACAGTACGAAATGCTAATTATTCTATTCCATACTAGATTTGCCCTGCTCGCTCGGGTCCCTCAGGGCAAGGGGCTGGAGGTGGGGGGAGCAGGAGTCAGGGCAGGGGAGCTGGAGTTCTCTTGTTCCCAGGGCTCAATCCGCTCCCTCCTGCCGGCCAGCTGGTGGCTGAAGTTGCCAAGAAGCAGCAGCTTCTAATTAAACAGTACGAAATGCTAATTATTCTATTCCATACTAGATTTGCCCTGCTCGCTCGGGTCCCTCAGGGCAAGGGGCTGGAGGTGGGGGGAGCAGGAGTCAGGGCAGGGGAGCTGGAGGGGGGG